TGGAAATAATATCCTCAGGTGAGGAGTAACAAAACAAATTTTTAAATAAAACGTGCTGAGCTTTATAAATCATTGAAGAAATAAATATGCATCAAACCACAAGGATGGTACCAATACTTACACTGAATAATGAACATGAAAAAGGCAAGAAACACAAAGGGTGGGCAGGGATGGGAACCCACCAAGACCCTTGAACCACGGAAAGTCGAAGAAATGCTGAGGCCACTGGGAATCTGCTCAGCAGAGTCTTTCATAAATGAGTTCCCTCAAGAGCCGTGGTCGGGTGTCCCATTGGACGGTTCAGAGCCAGACTCTCAGGGGCTGATTCAGGACCAGAACCTGGGTCCCGCCCTCACTGAGCAGGAGTCAGACCATCAGACACATGAGACCCTGAGGCTCAGGTGAGACCTCAGACACTGCTGACCAGCCTCCTGAAACCTGGACTCCCAGTGAGCCCTCATTCTGGGGAGATGCAGAACCAGGCCCAGGGTGGGGCTGTCTCATTGCTCTGGGGTGTGGTAATCCTGAAGGGTTGCAACAGCCTCTAACACGTCACATCCTGTGAAACTCTGTTCTGCAGGCTCAGGCTTCCTCCATCTGCAGAGCAGGAGCTCTCAGAGCAGACGCCATGGCGTCCATCCTCTCTGCTCTTCTCTGCCTCGGTTAGTTATGGACATGTGGAGGGGGAGCAGGAGGGGCAGCTGCATCCTCTTGTTCATGGGGAACCTCAGGGTCAGTCAGCCAGAGTGGACGGTGCCCTGATGGGAAGGAAATCAGCTCCGACGTCCATGTGCAAATCTCTCACCTACACTCTCTTCCAGGGCTGAGTCTGGGCCAGAGGACCCGTGTGCAGGCAGGTGAGTCCTCCCCAGGCTCCATGTCCCTCCTCTTACTTCACCCCTGGGGCTCAGGAGGGAGCACAGAGGTGCTGGGTTGAGGTGATAAAAGAGGAGGTCCTAGCTAAGCTAGGAAATGACGGTGGGGAAGGTCTTGGTCATACAGCCTCTGGTTTCCTTCCAGGGACCCTCCTCAAACCCACCATCTGGGCTGAGCCAGCCTCTGTGATGTCCTGGGGGAGCCCCGTGACCATCTGGTGTCAGGGGACTTTGGAGGCCCAGCAGTTCTGTTTTGAGAAACTGGGAAGCACATTACCGGCATGTGGAGCAAATCTACTGCATCTGATGGACAGGGGCACGTTCAGCATCACAAACCTGACAGAGAGTGGTGCTGGGATATATCGCTGTTACTATCGCAGCCCTGCTGGCTGGTCAGAGCGCAGTGACCCGCTGGAGCTGGTGGTGACAACAGGTGAGAGGACACTCAGGGGTCCAGGCTCAGTTTTAGGGGACTTTGGAGGCCCAGCAGTTCTGTTTTGAGAAAGAGGGAAGCACATCACCCTGGTGCAGAGGGAAACCACTGCATCTGATGGACAGGGGCACGTTGAGCATCACAGGCCTGACAGAGAGTGGTGCTGGGATATATCGCTGTTACTATCGCAGCCCTGCTGGCTGGTCAGAGCGCAGTGACCCCCTGGAGCTGGTGGTGACAGGTGAGAGGATGCTCAGGGATCCCAAACTGGGAAGCACATTACCGGCATGTGGAGCAAATCTACTGCATCTGATGGACAGGGGCACGTTCAGCATCACAAACCTGACAGAGAGTGGTGCTGGGATATATCGCTGTTACTATCGCAGCCCTGCTGGCTGGTCAGAGCGCAGTGACCCGCTGGAGCTGGTGGTGACAACAGGTGAGAGGACACTCAGGGGTCCAGGCTCAGTTTTTGCCCTCAGGAAGGGGGTCTGCTCTCAGGGTGTCTCCCTCTCACAGCCCAGCCCTGGGGGACATGAGGGAGGTGTGAGCCCATGTAACATGCTGCCTCCTTCTCTCCTAGGAACCTACAGCAAACCCAGGCTCTCAGCCCTGCCCAGCCCTGTGGTGACCTCAGGAGGGAACGTGACCCTCCAGTGTGGCTCATGGCAGGGATTTGACAGGTTCATTCTGACTAAGGAAGGAGATCACAGGCTCTCCTGGGCCCTGGACTCACAGAGACAGCCCAGGGGGCTGTTCCAGGCCCTGATCCCTGTGGGCCCTGTGACCTCCAGCCACAGGGGGACGTTCAGATGCTATGGCTGTTACAGGTACAGCCCCCAGGTGTGCTCACACCCCAGTGACCCTGTGGAGCTCCTGGCTTCAGGTTAGTTCCATTATTTTCCCATCCATTGATTTGGGTACTAAATTGGAGTGTTATTAGGGTCATTACTTTGAGCGGAGCCCCATGGGAGAGGGTGAGGTCAGGGGACCACAAGGACACCTGGGCCAGAGACAGAGAGAGAGAGTGAGACCTAGAGGTCAGGCCAGGAGAAGGGGTTTATGGGAGGAGCAGCCCTTGTAATTCATGTCTGGTCTCCCCAGGTGAGTCTGGGAAGCCCTCCCACCTGACCCAGCAGGGCCCCACCATGGCCTCTGGACAGAGCCTGACCTTCCAGTGTCGCTCTGATATCTGCTCTGACAGATTTGCTCTGTCCAAAGAGGGAGGAGGGGACAGAACCTTGTCCTGCAGCCACAGGCTGGGCTCTCTCAGGCCCACTTCCTCTGAAACTCAGAGAGGCTGACAGGGGGGTGGGTACATATGCTAGAGTAGAAACAACCTTTTGTTTGATTGTTTGGCCCAATAATCCCCCTAGTCATCCTGGTGGCAGGTGAGGAGCCAGTGGGTTCAGTCAGGGACCCAGACCCTGCACAGGCCCTGCGGGGAGTCTCAGGTGGTGAGACCAGAATGAAAGTGCAGACCCCAAGGAGGGAGAGAGACAGAGAAAGGCAGGAGGTGGGAGGGGAGTTGGGAGACTCAGAGAAACAGAGACAGACAGAGAGGAGGGTCCTCAGAGAGAGGCCTGGTGACTCTCAGGTCAGAACAAGGTAGGCAGCCCACCCAGCATGGCTCAGAGGTTGAACTTCAACCTATGAACCAGGAGGTC